TATTATTATTAAAGGTAAAGGCAAAGAGAGAGAAAAAAAGTTTTCATTCGCTTTCCAAAAGAGATGGGAAAAATATAATTCCTAAGAGAGTCATTCCATCACTTGAAAGAAATATAAGAGAAGGCCTTCACCATTAGGTGCTTTAATGAATTGTTCTGATATATAGTCTGTATGTATCTACCTGCCTACCTCTTAAGAGAAAACTTTTCCAGTTTGTATTATTTTTAATAGTTTAAACACATTTTATTATATTTTAACTGTTTATTTATATTTTTAGTTTTCCTACATGCTCTATAGACAGACAGGGGAGATTTAGATCATAAAAATGAATAATAAACCCCAATGTATCAAATCTACATTGCAGAGTTTCACATGAACTAACAGTTTAATTAAAAAACGCAGTGGAAGTTCTTAAAAGAGATAAGTTATGATTCAACATAATGATCATGTTTCTGCTCATCCTCCATCAGAAATTGTAACAAACCTCAGGGGTGATTCAGAGTCAATTCAAGTTTTAACTATATGAGTATTTTAACCTTATACCAGGGGTGTCAAACTCATGACATATCACAACTTTTCCCCCCTTCACTAAAATGGGAGTGGCCATGTTCACCACATGATGCATCCAGCCCACGGGCCGCGAGTTTGACACCCATCTTATACTGTACTGAAAAGCAGGATATTAAAAAACTGCTTTCTCAAAATGCAATCCTTAATATATCAAAAATTTTCCTGAAAATTAAAATAAAATTATGTTATTATAATACAAAAACTTTAGGATAAATGGTTTTATCTTAAATGGTTACGTAAATAAATGATAAGATAAATTTCTAATGAAGATTATTTTGACCCCTATTTTTTTACAAAAACATATGTAGTACCTTTTAAAGTTATTTTATTCTTAGCTGAAATTGGCTATACTTTTATAGACGGTTACTAATTAAAAACATGAATGATAGAATAATGAAACAGGCAGAATATCAAATACCATCTAGTTCACATCTCAGATATTACCTGTACTGAGGCCTTACTCCTATTGCATCACACTGTTATAATTAAATTACTATATTTTTAAGCTAGAACTCTGTACCGTACATTATAAATCTTCTAAAAGCTGCTTAGTAAAACATATTTTTCTCTATTTTTCAAAAATAGGATGCTCCGCTATTTCTTTTCCTTTGTCAATATATATTCATTTGTCTTCAGAGTAAACAAATAGTGGCTGGAATGAATAGTAGTGCCAAGAAGGAGGAAGAATTTCTCCTCTTCCTAGATAGGAAACAAGGAAGAAAGTCACATCTGCCTCCAAATTTGTAACCAATATTGAATACAACTTAGTGCTTCCTACACTGAACCAAGGTGAAATTAGATAAACAATTCACACTGTGCCTATCCAGAGTTATTCATGTATTATTTATCTGCACTGAAAACCACCCAGTCAGTTGGACTTTGGCAGCATTAAAATCAAAATGGTAATAATGAAACATCTACAGAATAATTCAGTCAACAATCCTATAAACATAATTTGGTAGAAAGACTCACATAATTTTATTCATTAATTTATTTATTCACATGACATATGGCTGTGTAACTCAGATAATGATTATCATTTAATTTTCTACAACCATACAGCTAATGAAATGAACCATAAATATATTATTATGCATTTATCTGTTATTTTAAAAACTATTTGTGCTCTCAGTCTATCTGTAGTTAACACAATGAGGCACTTATGAATAAATAAGCTGAAAATTGCATTGTTAAAAAGAAAATATGAAGCAATGACAAAAAGTTGAAAAACTTATGTCAGTGGAATATTATGAATCTGGAGGACAAAACTAATATTATTAGTTTGCTTTTGCAAGAATTGTTAAAACCTGTTATAAAACAATCATTATGTCCTTTAAAGCTAGTATTATTTAAACATATTTAAGCAACCAGAAAAAACATGAACTAAAACAACTGAGGACCACGTTTTGTAAAAGTTACTATTATTCTTTTTAATAGGGCTGATATACCTAAATTCATTTTACTTCCCCTTTTCTTTCACATCCTTTTTCTAGGGGATACAATGGTCTATTTTATTACAAAGACAAGAATTGGATCTTTATAATATTCCAAGCACGTGCTATAATTTGGTAAAATTCCTAACTAAACAAGCACGTCAGAAGCCTTATATAAACAATAAACAGCTAACACTTTTCGTGTTATCTTTACTACGCTAAGGGCAACTATACAAAAAAAATAACTCTTAAAATAATTCACTATAACTGAGAACGTCAGACGATTCCCCTCCCCCGAATTGAGAAATGTCTCCGTTGTTTAAAAATCAAATAAACCGCAATAAGCAAGAAAAACGGTGCACATTTAAAAAGAAAAAGCTCATTTAAAACCCTACAAGAGATGCGATTTAGGCTTAAGGGACAGTAAAGGAGAAGCGTAAGACACACGCAAATGCCAGGTGTTCGACCTAAGTGGATTACTTCAACGAAGTAATCTTAGGCGACCCGAGCGATGGGCGGCTGGGAAACACAAAGGAGTCGGGACGATTCCCGTCAAAGCAGCGGAATGTCATAAAACCTTAGGCCAAGGCGTGCCCCGTCTCCCAGGCCTTCCTCATTAACTAGCCACCGATTTTCCTTTCCCTGAGGCGGAGCCCAAGCAAATCCATTTACCCACCTGCCTGGGGGAAAGGCGGTGGTGACAGCGCCTCAAGCCCAGCAAACCGGAGGAAGGTGACGACGACGACAACGACAACGACGAGGTTTCACAGCGACAGCTACGCGGTTTAGCCTAAAACGTTTCGGCTCCCCTCCCCCCTCAATTTCTATCCCCCCCTTTTTTTTGGAGGGGGGTTCAATTCCGAGCCGCCATTTTGTCGGTGGGTTTGTCGCCCAAGATTCCCGGATATAAAACCTTTTCCCGACTTCCTTTGCGTGTTCCGCCGGCTTCTTTTTCTCCTCCTCCTTCTCGCGTCCCCCCCACCCTCCCCGAGCCAAGAATGCGAGAGAACCCAGGAGTGCTTCGCGAGGGGTTCCTTTTTTTCCCTCTCTTCTGGCGGTGGCGCCGGGCTTGCAGGCTCTTCTGCCCCTTTGGCGCGCTTCGTGGGAGAGGCGCCACCTGCACGGTCGGACCGACAAGAGCTCCGGGAACAGCAATTTTAAGACATCTTTGCAAAATCCGGAGAAAGGCGAGGGTTGTACCTTGGGCTCAATGCGATAAACTCGGCGTGTACGGTCTCCCGCATCGGCGCTGCGTCTTAATCTACTTTGGCTAATGAAACCTACCACGTCTCAGGGCAACGCAGCTTCTGGGGGCCTAAAAAAAGATCCGTTGCGGGGAAACGGTCTCTCCTTTCTTGTATTTGTATTTATTAATTTGTCAAACATGTACAAGATAGCAGGTATAAATGTAAACATGGACATGAACGAAAGAAATGAATACAAATAAATGGGGACAGTAGGACAGGGACGGTAGGCACGCTGGTGCCCTTATGCACGCCCCCTTTATGGACCTCTTAGGAATGCGGTAAGGTCCACAGAAGAGAGTTTAAGGTTGAAGCTGTGAGGGCTAGAAGATGTAACAACTTTCTTGTTGCTTTTCAGTGTTGTAAAATAGGCCTTTTAAATGTCCAGGTGTTTGGGAGTGGTTGGCTGGCTATTACGTTGAAATGAGTCAAATTTACTGTTTGGGTCAAGCATGGCTAGCTCTAAGAACCTCCCCCCCCCTGCATATTTGCCCTTCGAATTTATCCCCATGGTTTGTCTATCGAGATTCTCAGTCATCCAGGTCATGGTTGTCCCAAAGATGCTTTTTTTTCAGGAGGCAACTTGGACTTTCTGGTTTTTCTTTGAAGACATTGTGCTTTTTATCTAAGAAGCTTCCTTCAGCACATTGTGATGAAGCTTCTTGGATGAGAAGCCAAATGTCTTCAAAGAAAAAACAGAAAGTCCAGTTGCCTTTTGAAAAAAGCACCTTTGGGATCCCCAAGATTTCAACAAGGAAATTACAGGTTAGATCCAGGAAGCACTTTGTGTGTGCCTGCAGTGCATTTTAAAGATTTTTTTCCCCTTCCCCTCTGAAGTGCACCTTTTTCACTTCTAGAGGGAAACTCTCCCATTGTCACTCCCCAAAGCACGTCTGTATAAGTAATCCTTGGCTTACGTCCATTCGAAGTTGGAAAAAGATGGTTTTACAACTGGTTCTTGAAAAGTTTATTAATGAATCAAATTTATATTGCCAATCTCACAGAAAGCAACTGTTGATGGTTCATACAAGTTCTGACTATTGTAGCATTCCCATAAATACATCGCACAAACTTGGGTGCCTGGATTTTGCTACAGTGAGCCAGTTACGTGATTGTCATTTATGACCTTAACTGCCAGTTTCCTACAGGCAACATAAATGGGGGAAGCAGGGAATTTTTCAGGTCACCCCAGTAAGTCATTCTTGTTGCTTTTTTCTTCTAAGGAAGCTGCTATGAAGTATAAAATCCAATGAGCTTGTGTTCTGTAGCAAACAATCCTTCATTGTGTGTGATTGCAGCAACTTATGTGCAGCCACTGCCAACCCTCCCCTGGCCCACCTCTGGTGTCTGCTGGTCCACTATGTTCCATAGTGCCTACCTGCAACACCCCAAATGCACCCACAGTACTTCCTACCTGTTCCCATTTAACAACCCACACAGGCTTGGGGTTATGTCAACCAGGACTACCATCAGTAAGCAGTGCTGCAATAATGTTATACTTTATAATTACTTACTGACAGCAATTCCAGTCCAATTGCCATTGTAAGTGGGGGGGCTGTCTAGAGCAAAACAGAGAACTATTGACAATTGAATAAGTGTGGGTTTTTTTCTTTCTTAAATTTATTCCAGTATCAGTGACAAATATTTCAAATAAAATGCAGTTTTAAGCATCACACACAAAAAAAATCCCAAGGGAAATACTTCTACAACCTACTTTGGTAATACCATACTTAGTATGAATACTAAAGAACTTGCAATTAATTTATCTTTATTGGAAAAGTTGAAATAATATTTTAAAAATAAAGACAATGTAATTAAGTAATTACAATAAACAATGCATAAATGGAAAAAAATAATATAAACATAGTACTATTGAAGAACTACAGAAATTCATTGTTAAAAACTAGCTAACATAAATTACATTCAGTTGTATTCCAAATTATGATTCTAGAGAATGTTGTAGATTGCAATTTTAGAAAAAGAATTCTAAATTTACAGAACAGCATTGTTTTGGGAAAAATAAGGCTATACAAAGAGATCCTTCTTAACATAAATAGATTCTGTGTCAGTTCCATACACAAGAAATGATCCTAACACATCTAAACTGTTTATCGATAAAGTTGAATTTGAACTTAAATTTGTAATCTCAATGCGATCTTTAGTAGGATCATTGTTCAACCATGCACTAATTATGGACTGATTAGCCATAGAATGAGGTAGAAATGAAGTATTTCTTCCGCCTAAAATAAAATACAGAAACATTTTTTGTTATTTTCAGGTTAAAAAGAGAATTATTTAAATGCAAGGCAAATATCAAAGTATACTTTATATTGTTAAAGAACTTGGGTTTGCCATTTGTCAAAAAATAGATTACATTTTGCTGCTCTAGAATAATTTTAATCATGTTCGCTGTCTTTTCCTTTCAAGTTAGGCTATAATTAAGATTTATATACCACCCCATAGTGCTTTATAGCACACAATGGGTGGCTTATAATGTCAGTCTAGTGTTCCTAACGATATGACTCCTCATTTTACCCCCCCTTGGGAAGATGGAAACAGTCAACCTTGAGCCCTGTCAGGATTGAATTCCAGGCTGTGGGCAGAATTTGCCTACAATACTACATTTAACTACTGCATCACCAGGGCGCCTTGCAAAATGTGGGTGTGCATATAGCATTTTCAAGTAGCCTCATCTTGGTTTGTACAATTGGTGCACAATTGCAGGAAAAGATAGATAAGATGTTCCCAACAGATGCACATTTCAAATTACATTTGCCCTTTGAATCTGAATTTCTGCAATTTCTGTGCACAAAATGCACAGCCATACTAGTTACCAATCTAAAAGTAATTATTCTAATATTTATGTGTATTTCCTCTATTCTTCACTTGCAGAAATCTGTAGTAGTGAATGTGGGCAGCATGGAAAAATACTATACATGAAAGCATTTTACATTAGAAATACAAAAGATGTATTGTTTAAGTTAACTAGAGCAATACTGACCACCAATTGACTCAGAAAAGTTCCTATTTCTATGCTAGTCTGCAAACAGCATGAAATACTTATTTAGTTAATGAAAAGTTTGGGTAAATCTTACTTGTATGAAGAAAAGATTTTCTTTCAGTCACATCAGAGGAAGCATCCCAATGCCACAGAGATCCATCTTCTGAACAAGTGAACAAATGATCAGGATTGGAAGGATGAAAGTGTACTTCCCATACTGTAAAAGTAAATACATGCCAAATATAATATGCAAAGGTAGAACATTTTAAAAAAGTTATTTACATTTCAACATTATGGTAGCAAATGTTTAAAAGTAATTTTGTACAGAAAGGTGAACTAGCAATACATGAAATAAACACCCAAGAAGTTATTCTATTAGCATATTTCTATATTCTATGTTAGCATAGGACATCTGGAAATTGTTTAATGCTTATATTACTTCTTTCTTAAGAATCCTATAGACCAGAAGTTCCTAACCTTTCTGGCACAAGGAATTGGTTTTGGAAGAAAAATTGACTTCCAGGTTGGAGGAAGATGGTTTCACGCACAACCTAGATTCTGCAGATACACTGATGAAACTTGCTCGTCCACTGTTTGCACAGACAAGTTCCTAACAAACCACAGACCAGTATTGATCTGTGGCCAGGGAGCTGGGATCCTTGCTTTAGACTAAGAATAATCACTTCCAAATATGGTACTGATCATTTGGTTTAGTCCTTAGCAGATTGTTAAATAAACCACATTTAAATGGATTTAAACAAACCAGGACCCTGGTCAGTATGCCAACTAAATCATCATTGTTGACAACCTTTGAATTAAAATTCTAAATAAGCCATCAAAGCACATTTGTGAACCTTGCCATAATTGGATTAAATCTGGAATCCCAATTCTTTGTCTTTTTTTCTGACTTTTTCATCCAGTGGATTCTGCTCAGTATATACAGTATTCACTTGAGCTTTTCCGTGAAAAGCTCAAGAAACAACAGAAACAGCACTGGTTGTACTAGTGGGGAGAGGGTAATGACAGTGGGATGCGGGTAGTGCTATCATCCTTACTCTCCTTAACCTCTCAGCAGTCTTCGATATTATGGTCCATGGTAAAAAGGACACCACAGTCCATGGCTGAAACCTGGCAAGACAGAACAGCTTTGGGTGCAAGAAGCTTCAAGATCTGGGACTTTGACATCTTTAGTTCAGGATGCAGTAATACCCCAGATAGATCGTTTGCCACTTGGGGGTTCTCCTGGACTCCCAATTCCTATTCGAAGAGCAAATAACAATCACAGCCTTTGTACAACTTTGTTGTGGACATTCCTGGATCAGGAGTCCCTGCACTTAGTCATTGAAGCCCTGATCATCTAACTCTTGGACTACTGCAATGCATTTCACATCGGGTTACCCTTGAAGAACATTCTGAGGCTTTAACTTGTGCAAACTGCAGCAGCATGGGCAGTCTTTGTGGCCCCTAGAGTGGCCCATGGTACACAATTGTTTGTGAACAGCACTGACTGCCAGTTTGCTCCCAGGTGCAATACAAAGTATGTGTTGTTAACTTTAAAGCCCTGCATGGCATGGGTCCAGTTACTTGAGAAACCATCTCACCCCAATGTGACAAACCCACCCCACCTATTGGTCCCGTTTGTCAAGGATTTCTGGCTGGCAGAGTCCAGAACAGCCTTCTTTGCTATAGCCCCAGCTCTTTGGAACATCTTGCCCCAAATCTATATTCACCCTCTTAGCCTTCTGTGAGAGCCTGAAAACCAGGCTCTGCCAGTTGGCCTGAACCCCAATGGACTAAAAGTAGATCCCACATACCTGCTGTGCATCCTCCTCACTCCCCTCCCATCTTTTAATCATAATGTTGTATTCTTAGTGTGTATGTGTGTGCACATGCACACACAGTTTTATTGTTTTTAATGTAAGCTTCTCCAGAGTTACTTGTAGGGAGAAGCGCGGTAAACAAGATATTTTTTCAAGCACTGGTGATGTGTCAATGTGATGAAAGATTATTCCCCTACATTAGAATTATGATCCTGTTTGTTTAGGCACTTACATTCTGCTTGATGAGCATTTAGTAAGGAAACTGGCATGCTGCCTTGTCTTACATCCCAAATACTCAACATTCCATCTTGACTACCTGTAGCAACAATATGTTGTTGATTGGGATGCCTATCGACACAATGTAGTGGTACTCTTTCCCCTGTCCTGCATAGAAAAAAATCACAAAGGTGGTAGTCAAATACTATTTAAAACCCTGAAAGTAGTTACAAACTATCATGCCCTCAAAATTTCTGCTGAAAAGTATCAAGACTGCCACATTTTGGCAGAAATAAAACCAGAAGATTTTGGTTGTGCTGAGTTTTAGCTGAAGTAAAATCTAGAAGGATCCCAAACTAGTTTTAAACAAGCAAAGTTGGACTGTACCACCTCCTTCCCTTGGGAGCTTTCAATCTGGCATATATCCAGCCTGTAGATTTTACCAATGTTTTCCTCTGCTCATCTCCTGGCTGTGGTTTGTATCCCTTTTCCTTATTGTGACCACAAGGACCAGGCTTGATGATCTGCCTGACTCTTACCAGTGTTTTCCTTTCTCCCCTTCCCCATAGCCAAATCTGACGTCTTTTTCTCACTCTCATCTAAATAAGTATTACCCAGATTAAAACAGTCTTATTTCATTTTGCATCTGGAACAAAACATCCAAAACACATATTTCTGTTTAAATAGACTGCCTGATATTAGCTGTGCAGGCATTTTGCACATCCCCAACGTATAACTATTTGGCTTCATCAGAGCTTTTTATATGAAAGCAAAATGCTTACAATGAAAATATTTGTGAAGGTTCACTTCCTTGCTGTCTGAAGTCCCATATTTTTAGCTGACCAATGGAATTGACTGTCAGAATCTCTGTTGTACGAAGTCGAGTCACTGCTTGGAGTGTACTGCTATCAGCATTATCTATGAGAAATTAAAAGAAACATTCATACATAACAATGCCTCTTTAAAAAATTATCAAGATTTGGTGACACAGCCATATTATAGAATGAAACTGCTTAGCAAGTACAGCATTGTGACATATTGTCTCAAAATTTGAGCACTATCTCCATTTCTCATGCACCAACTCTACATGTGAACTTTAATGCAACAAAGAATTCAGGTACAAATCAATTTCCCTAAACTAAGAGCAAACACTTTAAAGTATAAACACATAGCACTCTTTCCAATAAATCACAATATTGCAGTGACTGCTCAGTTGAGAAAACAATGCTACCTTCACAATTTCTGCATACTGGAAATATTAGCTTTACAATGCCAATAAGGGCAATTCACAAATTTTCCAAGTATTGGTATATTCTTTTCATACAATCTTTGTGAATGCAACTATACAATATTCTTTAGCATGAAGATTTGAGATACAGTATTGTCTGTCCAATCAGAATATAATACTGAAAACTAGAAAGCTACTTTCCACATGAAAATACTTCCCCTTATGCACAGGACACCCTACTAAGTGGATTTCGAATGTAGTGGGCACCAGTACAGAATTATTTGAAATTTAGGTGGAAGCAGCTCCCACAGTTGAAATTCTATTCATGGAAGCTGTTGTCATCTAATTTTCTTGGGAATGTGCCACAAATCATTCCATTTAGTAAAGTCCCTTAGTATTTTAAAATGCGATAATTGTTATCCCAATAAAATAACTCTGGTTTCCAAATTTATACAGTGAAAATTGAATTATTGCCAAAAGGGGAAGAT